AATCCTAGTTTCTAGACTAGCCGCCAGCGCTACTTGGAAGCCACTCCCCCCTCCCTCGAAGCTCCTGGGACTCAGCTGGCCCTGCTCTACACTACCTACGGTACTACCATCCCAAAAGCCCCCCCGTGGCCCCCAACACGACAAAGGAAGTACAAAGAAACCCACGGCGCCGGATCCGGCTCGCGGATACCGCCGGAGCCATACTTGGCCCCCCCCTTCTCCTCCCCACCGTAACGAACACCGGAACGGGGCACGAAGGTAGTTCCCAAGCGGGTAAACCTTCTAGTGCACCGCCTTGTACCGCATCCGGAAAGACTGGACCGCACCCCGTGAAAGCCAGGTCTTCTCGAAGGCTTCCATGTGCGCGGAGGGGCCGGCGGGTCCGATGGCAGAATGACCCACACCGTTCCCGGGTCCCGGTTCCGGCGCCGGGGGGGGCCCTCGCCGACACCCGGCATGGCGCCGGCAGGGATGGGAGACGGGGGCTGTGGAGACCATACAGACATGTTCCGGGTGCTCGGCTCTACGCACTAGAACTCGGCTCGCGGGGTCTATTCATATGTCGAAGGCCGAGCCCCTGTTGCTCGTCTTCCGGCCGGGCTGCCGCTCTGCCTCTGAATGGCTCCGGACTCTTTGTAATGGAGATACGTGAATGTCTTCGTCGCCGGTTCCAAAGCTTTCGTTGTTGCCTTACTCCCGTGAAATTCATTTTCTGTATGTCATGTGTTCTTCTGCCAGAGTTATAACTCCTGGCTTTCCCTCCTTCAATGTCGTGAAAAAACTGGGCTCACATCTCATCATCTTGATAGTGCTGCCCCTTCACATCCACCTCCTGATCTGTCCGGTCACAATTCATGCCACATTGCATCCTATCATATCACACATGTCACACCACACACGAGTGAAAGATTTGATCTTGAACTAGAATGAAAGCCTCAAGGCCCCTTGTATATGCGTGTCGAATCTTCAGTACCTCTTGCTCCGATATACTTAATACCAATGCGACAAAAATAGCGCACAGGTTGGTGGCTCCCGAGGTGAGAAGCAGGAAGCATAAAACACAAAAGAGATACGCGCCGAGGATATGTCCCTCGACCACCATTCTTTCCCCGTAGCAGACGACCCCAAGATAATACATACAGAGAGGAATCTGCACCCTCTTCTCTGCTCATGAATCTCGTGCCAACCCGTCATTTTCCCGTAAACACCGGTAATAACCACATAAAAATGACAAAGCAAATAAACGCCCCCTGGCGCACATCTTAAGCTTCCAGTGCAAGAATCGAACGTAAAATTCTTCCTCAAACCGTGACTGCCCCTTTGAAGAATAGAAGCAAACCAGAGCCGGTAGCGCCAACCGCCTCGTAACCGCCTAGCCGCGCGCGAAAATAGTCCATCGCTTTTCCCTCGAGAAAGCTGAAGTTCGTAATGATCGGTTTCGTTCATTGTTGGAGACGTGCCGAGGAGGAAGCTCTTCGTAGTTGCAGACATTAATCCCTGATTTATATCCTATCCTGCTGCGATATATATTTTTTACTTCCTCTTCTTCCGACTGGAGGAGAGAAGCAAGGAGAGTCACAGTGGACGTGACACTCCTTCAAAGTCATGCAAGCTGGCCGAGATTGAATCGACGAAAGGGCGGGGCCGGATCCCGCAGGAAATCGAAACCTACGAGTGAGACGCAATTGGCCTACTCGTTGAAGTGGAAGAATCAAACAAAGATGACAAAAGACTCTCTAAGAGTGGAAAAGGTCCCAGGCTCTGGCGCAGAGCTGCATGAACTCCTCGCGCTTTTGCCTTTGGCTCTCGGGGCTGTCCCGACCGGCGCCAAATGGTCCTCTTCGCTGGGGGGGAGGGCCATGGCCCAATGGTGGGCTGCCGTCCTCGTACTCGGCACGGGTGCGGCGCCTGCTTGCGCTGCGGCTGGGATCAGCGGCTCTGCTTCCCGGGGCAGGAGACGGAGGCGTAGGAGGCTGGTGAGCGTTTCCGTAGTGTACGATCTTAGGGAGCAGCTCGGGGCGGCCACCGGCAATCTCGTGCTGTGCCTCTTCCGCTGACTTGTACTCTCTGGCACGTCCGGAAGTAGGAGGGCCATGCTGCATCTGAGGAGGGTGGCCAGGTGATGCCATGGGGGGACGGCTGGTCTGGGGGTACAAAGAGGTGGGGGCATTGTCGGGGTGGCCAGAAACCTGTCCAAAGACATCACTGATGGGCGGGAGACGGTTGTTTGTCTGGTTGGCAGGGACGTGGTGGATGTGAGAAGTGTTGGAGAGAGTGTTTGGCTGGTTTGTAATGTGACGAGACAGCGGTGCAGGATGCTGGCGGCCAGTGAAGGAGTGTCCCAAGGGGGCCGACTGGATGACACGCTCGTTGGCAAAAGACTCAGCGGAGGGCGGCAGGATGGAGAGCTGGGCTTTGTTCCTGCGAGACAGGCCGGGGGTCTTTGCTGCGAACTGAGACACAGGGTCCTTTCCAGAGGTGTCAGGGCCATCGCCCTTCGCGGATTGCTGCTGCATTCTCTGCTCGATGATCATGCGTTGCTGGTCCCTCACACTCATGCTGCGCTGGAGCTGTTCCTTCATGATGGGGTCCTGGGTAACGAACCCGGGCGAGAGGCAGGCAAGGCCGACCTCCTGGATGCCCAAGTTGTCCCTAGCAGTCATGGGCCTAGCAGTGCCGGGAGTGTTGGAGCCCGGGTGCGCCCCCTTGTTGGACAGGTCGAGTTTGCGTGGCCTGTGACGGGTCGTCGGCAAGTCGGGGGAGTTGGGTTCTTTTTTCACGACGATCTTTGGTGCACCGCTGGCATGTCTCGCGCTGGAAGGGAAGATAGAGTCAATTGACTGCGGTTGCGTGATAGGATGGACGTGGGATGCAACTTACGCGCTGGGAGGAGATGACTTGGGAGCTTGGGCGGCACCCCTAGGGCTGCCGCTGCCTGACCGATGCGCCGTCGCATTGGGAGTTCCAGTTGGTGCAAGAGGTCTTTGTTGTGCAGGCGAAGAAGCGCCGTGCTGTGCGGAAGACGCGGGAGCGAGGTCGGAAGGGAACGACGGTCTGTCGTGAGGGGCCGGAGAGGGAGCCATTGCGATCGCTGTGCTCATAGTTGCTGTTGGTAGGTTGGGAGGAATGAAGCGAGAAAAAAGGAGACCGGTCGGGTTGGGTTGCTGCTGCTGCACCCGACACGCCTGTTTGCTGTATGGTCTGCAAAAGGAGCCTCACTTGGCTTGACGATTGCCGATATGCAAGTTCGGAGAATGAAAAACCCGTGCAGAATTGATCGAGATGCAACGAGTCGTTGGTAAATTAGTAAGAGGGCGAATTGGCGATGTCGTCAAACGCTGGGTGATTGAGATGCGCGATTCTCCCTTGCTCGATGCTCCAGTTTTAAATGGGTCGAGATGGATCGAGTTGTCGACGTCTGACTTTTGACGAGGAGGTGCGCGACTGCAACTCTTTCTGTGTCAGAGGATTGGGGTCGCCAAGGCCGAAGCGAGAGGACTCGACTTTAAGTCGGTTTTTTTGGTTTGTCGGCTAAGGTAGACTTGGTGGCAGTGACTTTGGTGAGTAGTCAGTGGACGACTCTTTGTCCTTGTTTTTCTTGCCCTTTCTTGCGAAGCGCGGAGTCGCAGCAATTGACGCTTCGAGCTTGCGCTTTGAGCTTTACGAGAATGGCCGAGAGCGGGCTGGGGGAGGAATTAGCCTGGCGGGTTGTGGGTGCACTGGGCGGTGGTGGAGGTGATGGTGTGGTGCCTCTAAAGGTAAGGCCTCTAAAGGTCAAGGTACCGTAGCTGATTGCTGCTGGGCCGTGAAAAGTCGGAGCGTGGGTAGACGGAAAGCGGCTTGGTCTGGCTGACTAGGTGGGAGATGGCGGCGGGACGGAACAATCCGAAATGTTGTAGGAATAAGAAAAGAGACAGAGATGCTCGCTGCTGCTTTTGCTGCTTTTTTGCTGGCTGGCCGCTCTTTGATTTGAGACGGACTGCGACGGGGAGGAGCTGGAGCTGTGGAATGCGCAGCGGCCGATTGTGTGCCCAAAATTAGTGGTGCCTAGGAAAGGTTGTCGGCACGGATTGACTGATTGACAAAAGACAATGGGGTCGACCAGGTCGGCTCGTGTGTCAGGTGGTGTCCAGAAAAGTGAGCAGATCAGTCTCAGATCGAATCAGGGCCCGCGGGGGGTTTAGTTGGCGGAAAAGTATTTTCTGTCTCTCTCTTTTCTCGAGTCAACCGAATGGGTAGGTAGATAGATGCCCAATGTTGAGTTTTGGTTTGCGGAAGAGGGTATATGGTCGTATTAATTAGTTGGCGCGAGACGGAGTAGACTACGGGGTGGAAGCTGGTAGTAAAAGTAGTAGCGTAAGGTCCGTCGGGTCGTCAGGTCAAATCAACGAAAGAAGAAGGTTGTGGTTTGTTTTGTTTGAGAAAAAAGCGAGAGACTTGGTCTGCGACGTCGGGAGGAGAAAAGGCCAGGCGCGGGGGGGTTTTGAGAAACCGGTAAAAGGAGGAGAGGGGGGTATCGGGGAAGGAGAAATAGAAGAAGAAGAATGGACGGGGTGAAGAAGGTTGGGAAGAGAAGCGAGCGCTGGACGAGACGAGGGTTACAAAACAGAAGTTGAAAAGGATGGAGGGGAGGGGGTGGTGTTTAAAGCAAGCGTCGAGACACCTCCAGGCTCAGGCTCAGACTCTCAATACTCAAGACTCGGACGAGGATGAGACGGGGATTGGGATTGGAACAGGCACGGGGACGGGGACCCCAAGTTGACAAGTCGAGGACAGGTCAAGAAAACAGGGACCAAGGGGGTAAAAGGCCATACACAGAGTGCAACGACGGGGGTGTGGTGACAATCCAGTGACAAGTTTGTCGAGAAATAAAAGTGCTGGCCACCTTAGTTTACCTCACTTTTGCACAGGTATCCGTACGTGGTAAGGTCTGTAAGGTATCCTTACGGAGAGCGGATACGCAGTAAGGCACGGGATAGAGTGGTATAAAGTGAGACTGGATGGAGCAAGACGATCAAGAACTGACCAGGGCCCTTGGACAAGCAGCTGGAAGGATGGATCATGGAGACTTGGAGGAAAGCGACACACCAGGAGGTAAGAGGGGTGGAAGGGGGGAAGGGGGGTCACGGAGTAGAGGGGCAGCTGTGGTTGTTTTATTTTCTTATGAAAGGGGAACACGGGAGTGACACAATTATGGCCCAGCCGGCACACCAGGCCCATCTCTGTTACCTGCTCTGTTGCTCTTTTCTCTCCTTTCCTTCTGCTTTACTCTTCTCATTCCCGCATACAGTTTACCTGACACTACTCCCTACAGAGTACCGCTGAGTTCACCTCAGTAATCCATCGATACTACAACAAATGTCGGATGTGCTGAGGGTTTCCGGGATCTATGCTGCAAGAGATGCGATTGACTGGCTGATATATACGTACTTCCGTACACAATATTCCAGGGCAGGAAGGGGGAGGGGTGGCTCCTCTCATCGGAAAGGGGTGTGTGCATAACGCCCATGTGCTTGCTGTACGTAGTATACATGCTCAGGATTATGGATGCACCTGCCAGCAGTTCCAGCTTGACTTGCCCCCTCTCTCAGTACGGATTACCTTACGAAGTATCCTGATCATGGCACTCATGCCACAAATGCGATTCCACTGTGGTATTCTCCCACTATCCAGCACATACACACACACACACGACAGAGAGTGGTGGTGACATTGGCTGGTGGTGCGGCGGAAGCAGTCTAGACTTCCAGGCCACCTCAGAACCCAGGCCCTCGGTCTTTCAACACTTCATTAACACGGAATTGATTGGACAGCAACATCTGACGGTTGCGGCCGTTCTTCTGTTGTTCTCCTCTTGCTTCTACGCTTCTACGTTTCTCCCCTCGCCTCCGCCTGGTGAAGCACCACTCAGTGTCAGGAGCGACGACAAGATGCAGAGTGGCATCCGTCGGCTCGGGTGCGCTGGGCCTTCTCCAGCTGTTGGTTGGTTCGCAGGCGTGTAGCAATGGTGGAGGTGCTACTGGGCTACCTGGTACTTTTCGCAGAGTGGCAATGTGGTTTGCCTCAAACAACTCGACCACCTTACGCAGAGACACTAAACCTAGCATAGGCGAGGACAGGACGGGACGGGACAGGGCTGGGGCTGTCATCCACGCTGCTGGAAAGACTCCAATTCAAGGACAGAGAGAGAGAGAGAAAGAGCGGAGGAAGACGGTGGGAATCCTGATCGTGTTCAATCTCAAAAGGGGCGTGGGATATGGTGAGCGGGGGCGCCGCTTGACCTCCGTACACAGTAGGCTGTTTGACATTGAAGGTCAAGTTTCCCCCGAGTGGGTTCCTGCTCTTTTCCTCCTTGCCTGTTCACATCCTCCCACTTCCTTGTCTAAATCCTCACTGAGCTCTTTCGGAACCCCTAGTCCACAACTCCCACACAGTCTACACTTCCTATTCGGGCTCACATACAAACTGACGGTGAAGGGATGACAGGACTGACTGGAGCTCTCTGGCCGATGATGCTGATCAATCATCCAACCCACCACGCGATGGATACTCTCAACGACCTCCTAATAGCAGAATCCGAGAGAAACAACTATCGCGGGCCCATGGCATGATGAACAACAATGGCAATGCTCCCCTCTTGTTCTCTATCCCAATCTCGATATCCATGCACAGACGAGAACTGGCTGCAATGCAAGCCCAGCAACTAGAATGATGAGGGGGAAGCTACCACAGCACCTCGGGGAAGCTAAGGCAAGGCACCTTTGCTCATGTGCCTGAGGTGCCTGGCATGGCATACCTGCCTACCTACTTGGGTGCGGATACTTCTTGCAAGTCACTCCATACCTACCACAGCATGGTAGTTACCTATTACCACATCTCAAGTACGGGAAGCCATCTCAGCAACGCTACCACGGTACGATGCCTGGTGGCCAAAGGACGGGTACCTAGCGCGTGGTAGTGTCTTCCACCATGGAACTCTTCTACCGTCACAACCTATCGAAAGGTACGCTGTGTCGTGCCTCACCACCAATCGACGGCTACCACAGGCGAAGCTCACAAGGCCGCGACGGTTGGCCCACGCTGCGGCAGGAATAGCAGACTATTGTTTCTGATTGGGTTCGATGCCAACCATCCTGCACCACACGAGCCACCGCTCACCCACTCGCCCGTGCCCCTCACCCTCCTCAACTACACTACTGCGTACCCTTCCCCAAGGATACACAACTTCTCCCACCAGATTGTCAGGATTGGCACAGACTGCACTTCATCAATCAAGCACCGTGGGCCATGGGTTGGCCTTTGACGACACCGGATGACAATTCTCCTCGTGCGAGACGAGACATCCCCGACCTGCCAGGGTGACCTGTAACCCTGCCGAGTATGAGGAATACCTGCTCAGCCTGCTCCCAACACGCCCTTACCTATGTCATCCATGTATCTACCGTGATTACCGCACTCTATCAAAGACGGGGAAACTCAACAGACAAGCAATCGGAACCATCCTCCTTTGCACTTAGATACCGATGTCAAGATCGAGCCAAGGAAGGTCCGAGGCGCAACAATAAGGTGACGGATATGCTATCCAAAAGACCAGACGGAAACACCCCTGGCGGGGCTTCAATACACTTAACTCTGTCCCTAGACAACACAATCCCTCACTCATTTTCGCCCTCTTTTCGATGTCGAAGCTCGGTTCGGTAGGCTTGCCGTGCCGTAGACTACAGCAGCACAGAATCATGGCGGCCTCATCCGACGAGAATCACCGCGGCTCAAAGTAGAGGACACTGAGTTCTCGTTGCATCGCGATAAGTGGCTTGGCACCTGTTTCGTCATCCGCTTCCGAAGCAGAGGCAATTCAGAACCGCTAGTCAGCTCAGCTACGCCGCTACCACGCAACACTATCTGTATCGTATAAACCAAAGACGACCCAAGCTATCACGACTCCATTTCTGAGACCCTCGTTGACGTACGTACCACCAGTGCGTACGCAGTGCAGTTCAGGTCTCCGCCTTCAGCTCAACTACCTACGTGCAACACGACTGTGGTGCCCAAACAGCCCTGGCAACACCCAGAATTCAGCCCGCGCTCTCTCACAACTTTTGACTTTCGCTCACCTTGCGAGATCAAGCCCCTGGCACTAACCACTTCCGCACCTGCCATGACGGGGCCTGCCCTGCCAGTGGATCATCCAAAGCCGGGACTCGGTTGTTTCAACCGCAGCATCACAGCGATATATGGAAACGTCCATTGCTTGCACTGCCGTGGAGCACCACGCAGTATTAGATGGCATACTTTCGACCAAGTCTACCTCCTACGTGCTAAGTCTGTCGTGGGGCGCAAAAGGACGGAGGTGCTCCATGGGTTGCCCATCAGTCGCGATATTGGTACCAACCCGCTGTCGCCGAGGCGTCAACCGCGCCTTGGGCAAGCCGATGATCTCGAGACGGCAGCTTTCAACCTGTCACCGGACCCTGAAAGACACTGCCAGACGGCCAGCCCGGGTGGCCTGTGCCTACGCCATCGCGTCTAGATATCCTGGTACCGCCTGCGCCTGCGCTTGGTGCCTGTGCCTGTGCTTTCCCGCACACATTGCCGGCCATCTCCAAACTCCTAATGGCCCTTGTGGTATTATTAAATGCTCATTCTTCGTCACTGCCGCACGCCAGCGCTGCAGCCCCCTTGCGGGCCACATCAGACGGAGCGATCACTAGGCAGCTCTGGCCCGTCCGGGCGTCGGCCCTTCACGATTCTCTCCTATCCGGCAGATGTTCAAGCCACTTGCGGCCCCCAAGTGAGAAAACCCGAACACTGGGGGCGACGACGGCAATTGGAAGGTGAGAACAATTTCTCAGCTACCTGCGATCCCTTGGTGGGGCTTCCGAGAAAGAGGCTAACCTGCACATAGCATCTGCGTCGCGACAAGCACATTTTCCAACCGAAGCCTGTGCGAATGTCTATCGCCCGCTATCTTGGCTCACCGTGGAAAACTGGACCGAAAAACTTCATAGAGGCATCCATGAATGGAGGGGCATCCGATACTCGACAACCGAAAAGACCTTGTCGTGTGTTTCTCGAATTACTTTTTTCTCTTTCGGCCCCATAGTGCCACTGACCAGACTGCAAACGATCAAACCGATTCATTGCCAACCCAACTATAGAGCCTGAAATTTCCGTCGATAGGTTCGGAATATTTCAACCAAACTTCAAACGAGACTCTCACCGGTGAAATATAGTACCTCTCCACCTTTTCCTCCTCCAGTATCACCCCTCCACGTCCGCCACCCCTGATCACACCTGACGGACCCAGAGACTCCACATGGATGAATCTGCACATGATAGATTGCCCAATCGGCCGTCCGAGTCTCAAGTCTGGTCAGCCAACAGAATGGGTCGTCTCTCGCTCCTGTGTCGCGCGCGGCGGCTCACGACCAAGCAAGCTCTGGACTAGAGACGGCGTTTCCGCTAGCCAGAAAGTTATTTCCTCGACTCTGAATGCTCCTCGCTGCCGCGTAGAAAGCACCATATGCAGTCGCTCGGGTTGACGTTGACAACAGCTGGCTTTCGTATTGACCTGGGCAGCGTTGTTGTGCTCAATCTTGTCTTGAGTCTCCGCTCGCTGGATTTCCGGCCTTGACAACCACCACTGGCGATCGGTAGCCACTCGTAGGGCGGCAGGCCTTTGCTGAAACCCGCCCCTCGTTCTATTGACCTGACCTGAGCCTCCTGAAGGCTGAGTTTGGCGAGATTAGCTGGTGCCGGTTCACTCTGTCTCTTGCCTTCTCCGCACGGCAATGTCATGGCCAGGCAAGGCCAGGAAGAGCGGGGGGGGGGGGGGGGTTGGGGGGGGAAGATCCATGTGAAAACGTCCCTGAAGATCCTGGCCATATCCCACGACCGTTAAGCCGCAACCCCATGTGTCAATGTGTCACCAGCCTCTTTCTCTTTGTATCACAGTTGGCAGAGAAGAGGCTGAGTTGAGTTGTGGCACAAGACGCACGTACCATTGGCATGAAGTTGATGAGTGAAATGCAGAAGAATACGAGTCGGAGAGTTACAGTATTCTACATGCCGTCGTCGTCACCGACGCCAGAGCCACCTCCTGCGCACGTCGCCAACTGTCAAATTTCCCGTTTCTTAATGCGTCCATGCCGATTCACAACGTCTAGATGGGATTGATATGATTATCATAGATGAAGGTAGTATAACCACGACGTCGACGGATACTCTGCTAATACCTCTTTGGGTTTATCAGTCTTCAGTACGGATAGATACGAATGGCCGTTTCTCATCCAGTATGTCAGCACCGATCTCCATTCGCATTCGCACCCCTCACCGAACGACATGTTCACGCCCCCCATGTAACCCCCAAACCCCACCACAGTTCCAGGTTCGTCGTCGACGTTACATCCCCTAAAAATTTCTCTTCATCCTTTTCGGGACGACAACCTTTTTTTCTTTCCACTTGCAGGCAGGTTTCCTTGGTACTGTGAACGGTGGTACAGACATCTTCATCCTGGAATTCCTCAGCGGCATCAAGCAGAAAGAAAAAACGCGGCTGTTCTTTTTTGGCTTGTGAGTAGCATTCGCTTTGCCTGCACAGACGATTCGCCGAGTTAAGACGTCTCTTCCCTCGGCCTGCACATACATTTTCCACATATACGCCGAACACGCCTCCTCCACCTTGAACGTCTCCGTCCCATCTCTGGGTAGGACTCACAGACGACGGCCGTTGTTCACCTTCGTCATCTGCAAACCATCCGTCAATCCATGCAGCTGGTTAGCGAGGACTGAATGCTGCTTACATAGCATACCTTCACAGTTACAAGTGACTTCCCAGACCTAGCGCGAGATGTACCTGACCAACCCCGGTTCAACGACGCACCAAGCTAAACTCACCAACTGGGTGTCGGTTTGAGAATGGAGGAAACGAGCCAATCATGTGGCTTACACCGACCCTGTCTTGAAACAATAAAGTGCGGTTGGCGGCCAATCAAACCTCGTT